AGATCAGACCCAAAAGAGGGTGAGGACTAGCCAACCCCCTTACTGAGGAGTGGGCCCTGGGCCTTGAGGTTGTGCCGACTCGGCAGGGAGCTAGGGATTTGCAGGGAGGTAGGGATTTGTCAACTCTAATAGGAGCATGATTGGAGATCGTCCTCTCAAGGGTGAAGCGTGTGCAGGAGAGCCTGGGATGCAGCAGGGTGCGGGTTGGTTGGGACTATTAAGTGTGGGCTAAGGGTGGCTGGGGCTTTTAAGGGAAAAGGCGTTTGGAAAAGATTTGGAGACAATCAGAAATGGGATAGGAGTGGGCACAACTTGATAGGGCCTTGGGATTGAGAACCACAGCCTTGGTCTCTGGGAGATGGGTCCTACGGCTGGATCGTGGCCTGGAAGCAGAGGCAGAAGGGCTCCAAGCCCCAGGCACGGGGGATGATGATGCCTAAGAGTAGAGCCAGGTAGCAGCTGCCAGTCAGTATGGGTCCAGTGGACTTGGAGGACGTGTGGCTAGGAGGGCCCCAGGCACAAAGCTACTTCTGCCAGAGATTCCCTTGTTCCCTTCAACAAAGATGGTAGAGACTTAAAAGCACTCAACACTCAGACCTCCTAACCGAGGACCAAGCTCTGTCCAGAGCAGAAGTGTGTACAGACAGGAAGTTGGCAAGGGCTGGGCATGAAGTTGAGGCACAAAGCTCTGTACCCTTCCTCAGTGAAAGGTGGCGCAAACGAGCAACGGAAGCTGCACTTACTCCGACAAATACCACGTTTATTTCACAAACACTGGGAGGGTGGGTTGGAGTAGAGGTGGGGGACATAGGTGCACAGCCGCAGTCACCATCAGCAGCCCATTCCCCACCCTGAGGATTCAGCCCAGACTGTAGTGCCTCCAAGTCAACAGTGAGAGGTGAGTGCAGGAAGGCCCTGAACACCAAGCTCCCGAAAGGCTAAGGGGCACAGCTCCAGCTGTCCCAGGAAAACCAGCAATAAATAAGGGCGGGGCACGGCCCCACCCACACATATCATCTAGTCACCCATCTTCACTCTGGAGGTCTGAAAAAGAAGAAGGGGAGAAATCAGGCAGGGACAGAGGAATAGATAAAGACAGTGACCATGACAAAATGAAACCCTACAACCCCATGGCTGAACAGACATCACAACAGATGAGCAGACCAGGACAGACAGACAAACAGAGACCACTGAGTTAGGCTGTGGAAGAGATGGAGAGAAATGGCATAAGGACTATGCCAGACAACAAGAGCCAACCCAGTCCAGAACCCTCCATCACATTATAACAGATCCTCAGGTTGATCTTTAGCTGCAAACCCACATACCATCAGGTAGCTAAGACACACAATTCAGACATGCTATCCTACTGATCAGCACGTCACAGACAGAGATACATGTAGGCCTTGAGAGACACAAACATATCAAGATAGATAGACATAGTTAAAATCTTAAACCAGTACAGACCACAAAGGCATATCTGTATTTCCAGAAACAGCTGGCACAAAGAGGGTAACAGATAAAATGACAAACAAAACAGAGAACTAAATGAGAGATGTATACATACAAAGTGACAAGAAAAAAACCGACAAAAACAAATCGAAAACCTTAAGGAAGAAACCCAGAGATGGGAATGAGGTGGGGGAAACTTTTCAGGGTTTCTACAGTTATGGGTAGAGAAGGAGAGCAGTTAGGCTCCTCTGGACAGTGGGTAAGAATGGGCTGAAATCAAGAACACAGAGGCTCCCCAGGGGGACCCAGCACCTGAAGGATTGCGACGATGACGCCAAAGAGGCCGATGGCACTGCCAAAAATTTCCACGATGAGAATCTTTACAAAGAGGCTGGGGTTCTGAGCATCAGCCAGGGCAGCCCCACTGCCCACGATGCCCACGCAGACTCCACAGAAGAGGTTAGACAGACCCACTGTGAGTCCAGCCCCAAACATGGAGTAGCCTGGGAACAGACAGGAGCTCAATGAGGCTAAGCCAGGAACAGGGGGTGATGAGACAAGAGCTCAACAGGGTCTAATGGGCACCATCCCAACCCAACTCTGCAAAGCAGGCCAAAGTAGCTGAGAGAATATCAAAATGAGAAGTCCAAGCTGGGAGGGGAGGTGTGAAGCCCCCATTTTCACATTCACACACATACCCACCTACCTGCATGGTAGTTTCGATGGCCAATGGCATGGGGGTCAGTGGCACTGAAAGGCTAAGGGAGGCAAAAGTAATGAGAAGCTACTCATTATGCACCTGCCTCTCCTCCCCCAATCCCTCAGCAAGGTGTAGACACAATGGAATGGATGCCTGCCTGCACCCAGGTTTTCCTTACCTCAGCCATGTTGCTAATCACAATTGCCATGATGATGCCGTAGATGGCCACAGCCTCACAGAAAATGATGCTAGTAGGGACAATGGTAGAGATAGGAGTAGGGGGGTGGAAAAAAGAGGTGAGAAAAAAACCAACCTTCCTCCCCAAAGTCCCCAGCAGCCTTTCCTCAACTCAGATCTCACCCTACCAGAAGGCTGGTTAGAAGCAGTATGTCATCAGACACAGGCAGTCCCCTCTACACCTGGTTTTTGTTTGTGTGTGTGTGTGTGTGTGTGTGTGTGTGTTTGTTTGAGACAGGGTCTGGCTCTGTAGTTGAGGCTGGCCTCAAACTCATGGAGATTCTTTTGCCCTCCCAGTGCTGGGATTATAGGCATGAGCCACCACACCCACCTTTACAACAGGGTTTGGCACATACACTTACCTGACCAGGTTCTTTGTCTTGATTCTGGGGGCCTTCACACCTCCACCAATGATGGAGGAGCCTGTAATATAGATGCCCCTGGTGGAAGTAAAAGGAATCGATAAGCAGAGCCCAAGCTGTCACTGCACCCGGGATGACTAAAAACCCAGTGATACCACCTGCCGTGACTCAGTCTTGCCCCTCCGTCCCACTATCCCAACACTCACCAGGCCGCCCCAACCACAGACAGAGAGATTGCTAGGCCAATGCCCAGGTTTGACCACATGAAGGGGGAAGTCTCAGTCAGGAACCTGGTGTGGAAACAGTGGAAAAAAGAAATTCAGCTTTGCCCAGAAAGGGGGCACGAAACCCTTGGCCTCCCACCCTCCCTAGCCCCACCAGTTTGAGATGCTGCAACAAGAGACTCCGTATCTCTCAAATGTCCATGTCCTAGACAGCAGCTCCCAGCGGAGCCCTTTCTTACCATGCCACATCAAAGCGGAAGCCCAAGTCAAAAATGGTGTAGCAAATTCCTGCAGCAGTGAGAAACAAAGTTACATGGGCTGCTCTACAGCGAGAAGCTCCTCAGCCTAGAGAAGTACTGCCCAGCTCGCGGCCACCTACACCCAAGTCAAGGGACAGTCCTCGGGCTGCCCCCAGCGCGCTCCGGCTTGCATTTTCTGTCACTCTCAGTAACGCCGCTCCCTCAATGACACCATGACCCAAGCCCCTCCAAGAGCACGCCCCCGCGCGCCTAAATATCCTGGAGAAAAGAACACAGGGCGCAGGCGCTCCTGCCAGGACCCGCCGGATCCTGCCGGCCCCGTCCAAGCCGCTGTTTACCCAACGAGCCGTGGATGGGGAAGAGCGAAAGCGACGGGAAAGGGGAACCGGGGCTGCCGGCTCGTGACCCACGCAGGCCAGCGGAGAGCAGAAAGGGACGACAGCAGGGAGATGCGGGAGGGCGCTAAAGGAAGAAGGGGGCTAGTGCTGGCGTCGCGGTCCCCACCTGCCGCCGCCCGCGCCCCTCCTCAAGCACCTGGAGCCCTGGCCTCTTCGGTCGGAATCGGAGGCCCCAAGAGACGCGGAGCAAGCCCGAGCCCGGGCAGAGGCCCGCGCTGGGGCCGGGTACTCCTGGTGGTTCCTTTCCCCGCGAGGCTCTACGGCGGCCAGCTCGGGGCCCGAAGCTGCTCCTGCCCGCCCGCCCGCCCGCCCGCCGGGCCCGGCCTCACCCACGACGAGCGTGCAGGCCCAGAAGGCCACGAAGACCCCGGAGTACAGCAGCGCGAGCCCCGTCATGGCGGCGGCGACGGCGGGGATCGGGTCGGCGGGGTACAGCTAAACCGCGTCCCTGCGTCCACCGCCCCGCAACCTGTCCACCCGCCCCGCAGTGTCACCTGATGCTCCCACGTGACGCTCCAGCCCCACGTGACCCCGCGCCGGGCCCTGCGCTGCGCCGCAGCTAGCCACGCGGAGCATTGTGGTAGTTGTAGTCGCGCCTCAGGGAGGTTCCGGACCTCTCGGGTCTGGGCGCTCAGTGCGTCTTGCTTCTGTCCCCCTCCGCCGTCTCCTTCCCAAGCCTGTCTTCGGCCTCTAATCACAGCTGATCCCTCTGCCTTCTCCCTGGCAACCGGGGAGGTGCCGGACTGCTTCCTCTGCCCGAAGCAGGCCTGTTCGTGCGTCCACCGCCTGGCCACCACCTCTTGGTCCTCTGAGGTCATCCTTCCAAGACGCCTTTCCTAACATCAGGGGCACGGTGGCGGGCGCGCTCCGGGCTCCCACGATGCTCACTGGTGAGCCTTGTAGAACGGTAAGGTCACATCACTGTCCTGATTAAATGCCCTGGTGGTTCTCGTTTCACTCAGGAAAAAAGACAAAAGTCCTACGATGGCATCCGTTATTTGCCACCACCCAAGGGAACCCTCCGCTCTTCTCCCTCCGGCAGCACTGTTCTTACTATTACTCGAACACGCCAGGCACACTCCCGCCTCACTGCCCTTACATGTTTCCTCTGCTTCTCTGGCTAACTCCCCTCCAGTCTTTGCTCACCTTCTTCAAAGGACTTCTTGCCCATTCTGCTTAATACTGTAACCTCTCATCACGAGTCTGTATGGGATCCAGCTGCCACGGTGCCTTCCCTCTTCAGAGGGCACTGTCTCACTGTGTGGCCATTGTATATTTAACTGTCTTTTTCCCAACTTGACTGATACAACAGGAATCTACTTAAATACAATTCATGTCTGAGTATTTCATGAATAAAAAGAAACAGAAGGTGAAAAAGCATTGGTTTATTTGAATTTCTGTATCTTGAGAGACAAGTCTGACTCACTGTAGACCAGCACTATCCAACAGAACTTTTTACAGTGCTGGAAATGTCCTATAGCTGTCTTCTCATGCACCTATACATGAAACCAGTGTGACTGTGAAACTGAGCTTTTAATAATTAATTTAAAAAAATTTTTTTTGGTACCATGAATCAACTCAGGACCTCATGCTTGCCAGGCAGATGCTGTGCCACTGAGTTATATTCCCGGCCCATTAATTTAAATTTAAATATGTGTCTAGTGGCTACTGTCCTGGACAGTACAGGTCTAGATCAGTGATTTTCAACTAGAACCAGTTATGCCCCCACAGGGGACATTTGCCAATGTCTGAAGACATTTCTGGTTGTCATAACTGGAAGAGGGTATTTCTGATGTCTAGCGGGCAGAGGCCAGGGTTACTGCTAAACATCCTGCCATACACAGGTCTGCCTCCACTACAAAGAATTATCTAATCCAAAATGTCAGCAGTGCTGACATTGAGAAACCTGGTCTGGATGATCTAGCCCCTGCCCTTTAATAAGAGCAAACCCTCAACTGCAGATTAGAACCTTGGATTGACCACTGGTCCCGGGCTGCTCCAGGGACAGACGGACCCAGAAGGCCTCAAGAAAGTCCTTAAACTCTTTCCTCCATCAGTCAGGCAATAGAGATGTACTAGGCCAGTATGTGGTGGGCCTGGTGCCAGTGCCAGGACAGGACAGGCATGGATCTGATCTTCAGTGAGGCACTGCCTGGCTTGCCCTTTCCATCCAGGCTCCTTCAAGGGTCCTGGTGGGATGCTAAGTCAATGCTGGGAGCACGAAAGTTTCTAGCAACGACTCCTAAGTCCCTCTGTGTCTCTGGCCCCACAAAGTATCAGCTGCTTCCCTCATCTTCATAGGCAATAGCAATCCCTCGTCTTCCACTCACAGCTTCTGTCACCGGCGTCTGACCCAGACGGGGTTCCAGTCCCTTCCAGCTCCGGGAACTAAGGAATGAGGCTGTAGAGGGAGAGAGGGGAGCTCAGGCTAAGGGAGTTTAGGCTGGACCTAAAGAAAGATTTCAGCAGGGGTAAACACTTCCATACTTACCCGCAGGGCTGCTCTCAGCAAGTTCCAGCTGGGGCCGTGGGGTCAGGGCAGAGCATCCAGGAACATTCAGAGGCCTCCAGGCAAGTGGGGGTCGGAGCTCCCCAGAAATGAGCGACACATCTGGGGCATCCCACAGCTCTGACTCGGGCGGTGGGAGGGGCACATGGAAGGGGGACCCTGGAAGGGAGGGAGAGAGGAAATCCATACTGGTCCCCCAACTTCCAAGTTTCCAGCTGCCCAAGTTTCCAGCTAAAGCAATCCCCTACCACTCACCAGGCAACAAGTCCGCATAGTGTGTAAGGTAGGGAGCCAGGCCTGGAGGCGGCCAGGCAGGGTTGCAGGCAGCTTCCAACTCACATGGCGTCAGTACAGGCCGGAAGAAGCTACCAGAAGGCTTTGGGGCTAGGGCACCCAGAGGACAGGCCAACAACACAAAGACATCTATCTCAGGAAAGTTGGCAAGTTTAGCAGGGGTGGGCTGCCCCAGAGCCAACACATAGCTACGTTTGCCAGCAGCCTGAGACAGATTCCGTAAGTGTGCCAGGGCCTCACAGTGTCGGGCCACACCCAATGTGCCCACCAACAGCCCTACCACATGGGCATCTCTGGCCCTCTCTACCAAATACCATCTTCGTGCCCTTAGCCGTCCAGCCCGGACACCCTCATCCTGGGTCTGTCCTGTGTCTGGGCAGCAGGAAAAGAAGGGCTTCCCTGGTGCCCACCCCAAGAGCAGCCGGCTCAGGTCTGGGTCAAGGTCAGAGTCAGGACTAGCCTTACAACTCCCCACATAGAAGGCACCATATTCTTCCAGACACCTCCCTGGGGCCAGGGGGAAGTGACGCCCAAAACGCTCCAGGGGCTTGGGCTCTGGACTGGAGGACCCTAATGGTAGGGGAAGAGCTGGGCTGGAGACAAGCAGGTCCTGGTATTTAGGGTGCAGGAGAGTGGCCAAGGCCTCTAGAAGAGAAGAAGGTGGTGTCAGGGTTGGGGTATGGCAGAACAAGAGCTTCCTCATCTCCTGGAGACTAAATGTAACCCAAAAGCAAAGACCTGGGCCAAGAGCTCTACGGGAGTATACTAAAATGGAGAATTAAGCCATGTCGCCATAGGCCCACCCTTCCTTCTTACACAGGCACAACCTCTTACCCAGGGCATGGGCACACGCTGGTTCACTCAGCAGCACTACAGGTGCTGTAGGGTCTGGATTCTGCACTTCAAAGGCTTTGGCGCAGAGCTCCAAAGCCACAGAACGTTGGCCAAGGATGAAGGCGATGGGCAGTGGGCGGGCTGGGGGACTTAAGCAGGCGGTGCCGAAGTGAACAAGGGCCTCAGCTCCAGCGTGCTCAGCGCCCAGAACATCCACACAGCAGCTGCAGAAAAGATACCATGAGTGGCAGGGGTTCCCACCTGAAGATGAATTGCTGTCATCCATAGGAAATACCTCCAGAGAAGAAAATGGTGACATGAAAGAAGATCTTGTCTCTAACCAGTGCGAGCACCAGGAGGGAAGTTACCATCATCACCGAGAAACACAAACACTAGAGGCAGAACTTGTTACAGCAGGGAAACCCCATGAGGCCTGGCTCTCCAGGTCTCGCCCACTTAAACCCGAGATCACACCTGCCATAGGCCGTGTCCCCTAAAATGAACATCTTCGACCCTGTAATCTCCTCCAGTCGTGCAGCGACGGCCCCTGCATCTCCCAGGAGCTGGTCAGGGAACTGCAAGGCCACCTATAAGCATAAACCATGAAGTCAGAAAGAGCTTCATGCCCCCTACTCCCACCGAGGGCCTCTTTAACAGGAAAGTCTTCCGGGAGCCTCCACTCAACCCCAAGGCCTCTGGTCCCGGGAGAGCATTACGTCCCAAGGGACGAGGGGCAGATGGTCCAAGCTCCGCGGACAGACTCCGACTCCCCTACTCCCCTGTGTTCACGAAATCCTCTAAGATGCCTATGTTCCGGGCGACCCATCTCAAGAAGTGAATCACCACTCCCTAAGTCTGGCCTCACCCGCTGACACCCTAGGTCACGGACAAATCCAACGACTCGCTCCAGCTCGTACACTTGGTCGAGGTCAGCGAGGGGAGTGAGCAGTCCCGGGACGCCCGCCTCCCGCTGCAGGACTGTCTCCACCGGGCTGCTGAACGTAGACTCCATGAGGCTTGGGAGGCGGGGCGCAGCAGAGGCTCCCTCGTCCAGCTCAGGGGCGCGCGCCTCTGAAGCAGCCCTCCAATGGCTCAGAATGGTTTTGTAGGGCGGCCGGTGAACCCCTCCTTTCGCTCCAACCCCTCCAAACCCCAGTAACAGCACAACACATGGGCCGATCCACGGAGATTACTTCCGGGTTTGAGACGTGACTGATTGCTACTCTACCAATCCTAAATCAGCACCGCTCCTGCGCCCCAATCCCCGCCTCCACGACCCGCAGAAACCAATGACCGGGCGCGTACGGGGTCAGTCGGAAGTTCCGTGGAGAAAGGCGCTAAGCCCTATGGGAGTTGTAGATCTTCTGGTCTCCGCTCCGGCTGGGCTCTCTGGGGCTCAGCCCCTTCGCTGTCTGCCCTCAGGAGCTGACTCACTAAACCACTACTCCAGCGTGAGTAGCTCCTATCCGCCCATCACGCTGAACATTTTATATGTATTGGATAATTTTAGACCCAATGCAGACCGTCTTTTCTTTTTTTTTTTTTTTTTTTTTCTTTTTTGTCTTTTTGAGAAGTGGTCAAGCTAAGGAGTTTACGCTGGCCTTGAACTCACTTTGTAGCCCAGGCTGGCTCGAACTCGCAACGATCCTCCTGCCTCAACCTCCCGAGTGCTGGGATTACAGGCGTGCGCCACCACGCCTAGCTCAGATCATCTTGATATTTTTTTTTTTTTTTTTGGTACCGGAAATCGAACTCAGGGCCTTGTGCTTGCCACTGTCTTGATTTTAACAGCATGTTTGGCCACTTGCTACGGAGTACTGTAGCTCAGGAATGTATACCCTGTTGCCTTATCTGCAGAATGGGAGCTTTAATAATAATATGCTTTAATAGGATTGTGGCAAGACTCAAATTATTTATTAAACTTTACAAAGTTTTTTACATGTTCCGTTTGTTCTTGTCTTCCCAGCAGTCTCAGTCTGGTGAACACTGAACCTTTACTATTTGTCAGGCACCACGTTAGTCTTTTGAATAAGAATTACCTCATTTTAAGACAAAGAAACTGAGGTATGAAGAGACTAACCAGCTGTCTAATAAGACGTAGTAGGCCAGTGGCACAATCAGTATCAAAAAGGCTAAACCCTCAATCTCCTACTTTATATATACATTTGTTGTGGGGAGGGCTCAGAGGAGGAAGACACTCAGACTCCATGTGGTAGGAAAAAAGGACTAAAATATGTGAAACATCTCCACATATGGCAAAAGTGAGAAATGGTGAGTGAGACTGGGACTGAGGACTAGAAGGGGGACAGTATGGCTTTCATGGGATGGGGGCGACAGGGGACTAACGTCAGCTGGCATGGAAGGTTGAATGAGGAAGAATGCAAGACCCGGATTCATGCAGAGGTTGGGAAAAGAACAGGGAAGACATGAGTGTGGGCATAACCAGTTCCCCCATCAAATCTCAAGGATGGGAGTACAGAGAGCTCAGTCTTGCCCTTTAGATTTTATGGACCATTACTCAGGATAGGGTCCCTGAGAGGCACTCTAGGTGAAATTATAACTAAGGAGACAGAAAAGAAAACAACCCTGCTAAAGGAGGAAAACAAGAGCAGGCCGGGTGCTGTCCCTGGTACTGACTGAGCTTTGATCCTTTGTCAGGGAGGTCCGTAGAAATGGTGACAGATATACAGGAAACAAGGTCTTGCCTTCCTCCTCCTCCATGGGCTGCAATGCCTTCTGTCCCATCCCTCACCTCTCTCCCACAGGTACTTTCTATAGCCTCCCTCAACCATGTGCATGTTTGGGTGCTTCAAAACCCCACATCAGACACCCTTCCTGGAACATGAAGCCCCACTCCATTTCTTCCCTCCCAACTGGATCCAGCTCAACACCCCATCCTGTGGTTAGGATGCCTGCTATTCCCATCAAAACCAAACCGCCTCCATGCAGCCTCTCCACCCCACTTCTAATTTAGCATGGTAGCTCTGGAGTATACAGCCTTTGTTTAGAACAGAGCGAGGGACGAATATTCAACATTGTTGATTAAACATAAACATGAATGCACACTGAGACTAATTTAACAGGTGTAGGGGATTGCTACTACCACAGCCACCTATCCCTCCTTCCACTCCAACAGCAAAATTCCAAATGGCTCCAGCATAGGCAGCTCAGCTATAGCAGTTCTTCTCCCACCCCAGGAAGTAGAGAGTATCCCGACCATTCTTGATCAAGGCCTGGATCCAAGCATCCTCCCATCTTTTCCCCAGGCTTCTGGACCCAGGGTTTTGGTTAGGGGATGGTAGCAGCAGAAAGGAAGCAGAGGCAGTAGTGAGGGTCCAGGTTTACTCTTTGGGGATAGGAAAGGATGAGAGTGGATATGGGACAGGGGTGCCCCTCAGTAGTCAGCTGTGTAATCTGTGCCATGTAGCCCCCGACACAAAAGTGTGAACTCCTTCACCATCTCCTTCACCCGCCTCTTGTTCATTCGCTCACTGAAGGAGGGAAGAAAGAACAGGTTAGCATCATCCACCAACACTTCCATCTCCCCCCCTACCAGAGCCCAGGCCCATCCCGGCCCTGCTCACCGAAGGATCTGCTGACTGAAGGTGTCCTTCTGTTCAGGGCTGAGGCGGGCAGAGGGAAAACCAGGTGGTTGTAATGCCTCCTTGATCCACATGCTCAGGAGACTGAAGCAGTGTTTGTTCAGGGCGAAGAGGATGTCAGCAAAGCAGTCCATGAGGCTGCGGGAGGCCTGGCCCCCAATGGCCTGCGGGAGAGTGCCTCTTAGTACACTAAGGCCTGGACCCTTCTGCAGCAAGGAGGCCTAACCATGCCCTAAGCTCTCTGAGACAGTTCTGCAGCCAAACTACACAAGTAAGCAATGCTTTCTGAGTGCCAGCTGATCCTCAGAACAACCCTAACATCTTGCCATTTAATTGAGATAGTTATAAAATCCAAGAGCTTAGGGACCCAAATGATCAAGCCTCCCAGAAAGCCAGCTGCCTCAGCAGTGAGGGCCTCCCCAACCCTACCAACACCCACTTGCTCAGGCTCACCTCCAGCACTGCTATGAGCAGCATACGACCATCCTCCTGTACCACCTTTCCCACGGATTCTACTTCCCCACACCGAGGCAACAGCTCTGTCTGCAGAGGATGAAAAGGCCTGTCAGCCCCGGATCCTTCCCACCCCTTCCTAAGGATGACACCTGGATACTACACCCTACCCTCTGAAGTTCTGGGCAGAGAAGGGCAGGGGGATACAGGTCTGCATGAGACTCACAAAGAAGCCACAGGAGGCCTTGACAGTAGGTGCCTCGGGGAACTTGAGGGCCAGCACAGCTGTGGGAGAGGCAGAGGCAGATCAGATGGGGCCCAAGGAGCCTCCCAGGGGAGCCCTAGGCCCACTTGTCCACCTGGTCCCACTTACCACACTGGAACACAGCTTTGACATCCAGCCGTTCACACAGGAACAAATCTGGCTTCCGCTTCAGAGCCTGTAGGAGGTGGAGCTGGTAAGCCCAGCCCCAGCCAGCTCCGGGGACCATCTCCCCAGTTCACCTGCCACCTCATTCCCTAACTTCACATATCACAGGCAGAGTCTGCCACCCAGACATCTCTGGGGGACCCTGACCACCCCAGAATTCAGCTGGTCAGGGAAGGAGTGCCCAAAGGATGCTATGTACATGTATGTGTACATGAATGCACTGGGGTGCATGACAGAGGCTAGGGGTGGGGATCACAATGTAGAAAATGTGAGTCCCAAGTCACTCTTTGAGCAAACACCTTCTGTTCTCTCCTCCATCAGGACCAGTCCTCCTGCCAGCAGTGACTTTTGCTTTGATTCACAGAGGAGTTCGAGGCCTCTGGGCTTGAGAACAGGGCAGCAGGAAGAAGAGACGGCAGCTGGACATGGAGCCCCCCAGCCTACAGGCCCTCTCCTGTGTCCTGCAGCACCATCTTTTGCCCAAGATACCCTGTATACAGGGCCTTCTCAGCCATACCCACCCTAGGATCCAGTGCTGCCACTGGAGGAGGGGGAGGGGAGTAAAGATACTAAGACAAGTTGTACCAGGACATGACTGGCACATCCTCAGGTCACAGGAGATGGTTGGCACAGCTCCAACAGTCCTCAAACACTGCTGTCCCCCAGCAACACCCCCAGCTCACATCACATAGGCCCCCACCCTACAGCCCCTCACACACCTTCTACCCCCATGTTTATTGTTGTGCACACACCCTGACACGCACCCTCACTTGAAATGCCCTACTCACACACCGCTATCATACCCCTTACATACACACTTTCCCACACCTGCAGCACACCCCCACTATACATCCAAACACTCCTGCATCCCAAACTGTCCACACCCAGTTTGTCTGCACACTCTCCTCTAGCACATATACACTCTCCCAGCACACTCACAGACACATGGATATCTTCCCCATTGAAGATACAACCCTGCAGATATCCACACACATTTCTATGAGCACTCCCTGTTCTTCACGCTTCCCACCCACCTCCAACCAGACTATAAGATGCAGGACAGCAAGAACCATTTCATCGTCAGCAACTAGCAGAACACCAAGCATATATTACATAATAAATACCATGGAACAATCAAGCAGGAAAACACTTCACTTATCCCAATTCACAGGATCTCCCCAACCCATAGAGAACCCTTCATCACACCAATTCCACACTCTCATAGCCCAATATGTACATCTGCCGAGCCGCTCACTCCAATCTAGATGCATCAACACCAAAACACGTACTCCTGTCCTCCACTAAAAACACACTTCCACAGCCTCCACACACCTCCAACACACATCTCTGCTCAACACCCATCAATGCCTAACACAATGACAAACAACACAAAACACACAACACACATCAATGTACTACATGCATCAAAACGCATGCCCACGCTTCCACTTCACATTTATCTTAATGCCCATCACCATACATGAACTACTTACAACAGGTGATTTTCCTCCCTTCCCAAACCCAACTCAAAACATACAAAATGAGATACAGCACACTCAGACACGCACCAGACACAAACGCGTCCTACTGTAGTCTCACAGTGGAGGCTGCAACCACTGCCTGGCAGCAGGGCAACCTCTCCATCAGCTGCACTGGGCTCCCCCGCGCACATCCCCTGCAGACCCTCCCTTTGGAGCTTCTCCCGGCC